CGTGAAAACATCGGTATTTTCTATCAATAATCGAGGAGTTACATATCAGGACTGTAACTGTTTTATAGAAAAACATCTCAGCTTTCAGATGGTACCTTCAAAAATATAGGTAAGCCTGAAAATATTTGAGATATTTCGTAAAGTATTAATCAAGTCATTGAATTAGCAGGGTCATGACGGGATGTCATCTTGTTTTTTGTAAGGCGCGCGCTTTTGAATACTTCAGAATTACACTGCAAGTACTTACATAGGATTCATGTCATTTGTAACTCTTTTTTAATCGTGTTCTCCTATGGATTACTTACACTTGTTTTTTTTTTTTTAATAAAATAGAACATTGAAAAATTTTAACTGCAATTATTTTTTATTTTATCACAAACTGCGTCAATAATTTTAATATTTGAAGTAACTCTTACTTTATTATTTACACTCATAGATAATAATAAGGTGATACCATTTGTAGGATCTTTTTTATATGCATCTACAAATACTTCTGTTGATATCGATTCTTTGACTATTTTATAAATTATCTTATCATCAATAATACCTTTTAATACACTTAATTTTTGTTTGTTATCATCAATTACTTTTTTATTTCTTTTTTGCTGTTGCAAAATCATTTCAGCATCCTGCAAGTCTTGATGACTCTTACAGTGATGTATGATTTCTTTCATTTTTTATAACACAAAAAAACTAATTCTAAATAAAACGCTCTGTACGTGACAGAAGCTGCTGTTTGTTTACGATAGGTACGGATACATCATATAATATATAGATGATGGTGCTCGCCTGCTCGCATATATATATACACGTATATAAAGATATATACTCACAGCAGTGATACCAACTAACCGAATAGTTTTTGGGTTGGTATCAGTGCTCGCTGGAGCCCCCTTAATTTAACGCGCACCAAACGACAATCCAAAGGCGCGATTACGCGTCGAGATGTATCTTCGGGTAATACATGCATGTAATATATACACATTATGTACAAACTCTATTCTTTGAACGCACAATGCGATTGTCGCGCGCAGAAGCAGATAAACAAGACGGCCCAACAATTACAACGGCTAGCGTGTCAGATTGGCTCAGTGAATCGAGAAATCTGTCGCGCGTCTCCTCTCCAAGACGACCGGGTTGTTGGCGAATTCGCTCGTTGCTTTTATTCTTTGGGACCATTGTTTGATTGTTGTCAATAGGTGAATTACGCAATCCGTGCACAGCTTGTACGTGGTGGATTTTTTTTTTTCTTCTTTCGTAACGTCGACAACGGAAGAGAAGAGAGCAAACAATATATTTCGTCCACTACGGGGTTACTCGTCTGGTTTAATTTGACAATACAATTGTTGATAATAATCAAAATAACGTACGTGATTGTATTAATTATCGTAAATCTATTGAAATTATATTGGTATTATAAGGCAATTTATGTAGTGTGTATGGTTTCATACAGAGACAAAAAAATTAGGGTTGCTATTTTTATTTTTTTGTGTATTTTTAAGTATATTATTCATCACTTGATTTTATACTTAACTTTGGTACAGATTGTCTTGCAATGTAGCAGCGTTACCCTACCATCAAATACCACACGCAGTTACTATTATGGATATCCTTAAAACTAATTCAGCTACCCCTTTATTTTACTAAATTGGGAAGGACTATTGGTCTAGCATCATCAAGGGGGTAAGTATACAGGGCGATCAATAAGTACTCAAATAAACACTTACCCTGTACAACCCCAAGTATAGAATTTGTTATACTTGAGGTAACCGCTGCTACTATTTAGCCGATGATTTCGTCTTCGTGATTGTGTTACCAACGGAGCAGGCTGTATAATTATGCTCGACAACCTCGATACGCACATATTATACCAACAACGCGGGCGTAGGCTGATATGATTCAAACTCTCGGAATGTGCAGCGAACCTGCCGACATACCTATACCCATATGATGTGTAGATGTATAATATACGAGCACTATCAGCTAAAAGTTATTGCTGGCAGTAAATGTGCTCTTTTATCGGCTGGTTTCACTGGTTGAACGTTATACCTATTGAGGCACACGAGTCCAAGAATCAGTTTCACTCGACTGCTCCTACATCATATTGTCCACATTGTGAGGTTTTGTGAGACGACAACGTTCGTTCAAATGTATCTTCGGTGTAGGTGTACAGCTGATAACAAATTAATGATCGTAACAATAAATTTTACCCAATACACGAATCTCTATGATACGTAATATCATACAAAATAGGTATATATGATCCCATGCAACGCGTGATGCGTTCAAGTGTATAGGTGTATATATGTGTATATATGTGTATATGTAAACGCTAAAACTATATCGCTGCTTTTTCCCCCCGTAAAAGACAACAATTTTAACTCTAAGCCGCATTTTTTGCATTTGGATGAAGTGCGATTATTCGTATACCGGGTTTGCAGTGTATACCAGACGAGTAGGTGTGACACACGGTCTTTTGTAACANAGAAGAAAGACTTTGGCTAAAGAGTGAGCATGAAGCCGGAGCAACGGGCACACTCGTACAAATACATATAATGTTATACGTAGCGGTTGCCAGTATATCGTGGTAATACTTGCTTACAACCCAATATATATATATATATATATATACGAGGAGGGCTTAGTCATCCGTTTCAGGGTTGCCCGTTTCCTGGGATGGGAGCATGGCTGCAGTGACGACGAGTCATCGTGCCAATGTATATACACACAAGTACCACCTAACCCATACGTTTGGATTATTATTCTTTGTCCGCGATTCTTTGGCTTGCGTTGTATCCGATCGAGGGACTGGTGTCTCTGTACCTTCTTTTGTCGCGTGCCCATATATTTATGTACACGATTGATAAATCATACCCGCATCTGGAGAAAAGAGAAACAAATTTTTCTTACTCGTTAACATGGTTACCCCCCATGAATGCTGTGCAGCGTGTAATGTGTCTACTTGCCTGTACTCGTGTCGGCCGCGTCTATATGATACCAAACCCTCCCGTATAATAGTAATGATAATAATAATAATAATAATAAATAATAAATACTTACGCATGTCGAAAATTGGGAAAGAGTACCACGAATGAATGGTACATTTGTAATATAAAAATGTATACTAGATTAATCTTGCATCCGTAACTATGAGACCATCGAATTTTTAAAAGCCAAGTAATCACGGAAAATAGACAAAATTGCGAGCAAAACTTTTTTTTTTTTTTTTTTTTTCTCAATCCACCCCAAGCAAGCACATTTTGCAAAGAGTAAAGTTGTGGCGCGCGCGCAGTCCTGCATATATTGGTATAGTACCAAGCTATCGAGCCTCGCGAGAGTGGGTGTCAAGCGCGACAACATCGCGGTACCCACGAGAGAAGCTCAGCTGCAAGTGCGCCAGGGCCGTGGCACCGCATCGCTGGTGCCCCTTTTCGATACCTTTTTCATTTGATCGATGAGACGATCGAGTGGCGTTGCGCAATACATTTGTTCATCGTGCTGGTGTTGTTATCACATACACCTTATTTACCCATACCAAAGCATCAAGATGATCCACCTCTCTCTTTTGTATATACCTCATTAGCCGTTCGGTCGCTATGAACTTCGTTGTTGCTCATCCCTTCGTCTTTACGCGCAGATGCGCGCTCGAGGCGGATATAATGTATACAAGTAAAAAAGTCCTCTGATGAGACAACAAAAGAGCCGCGAACGCTTCCAGCTGCACGTGTGATGTGTATAGACATACCCAACTTTGCCTCATTCCTCGCGCCGAAATAAGAGTTTGGTGCAACGTTGATGATGGCTTTTTGCGCTTATCTGTACCATAATAATAATGTTGTATACATTCGTCTCATCTTCATTTTTCTCTCTGTGAAGATATTAGGTACAACCTATACCCACGTATACTTGCGCAGCCGCGGGGGGTTGGGCTCGAGGACGAAGGGGCATTATAAGCGGGGTAGTTTACATTTTCACTCGGTGCGGATTAGGTATGGGGTTTATGGGCCACAGGAGAGTGGCACGTGCAACGGCAACGTCGCAAGCTCGCACACCAACTGCTCCTTCCCTTCTCGCCAACCCGTTACAAAAAGCAGTTTTATTTTTTTGTCGTTGCATTTGAGCAAATTTACTTTCGTATACGATTAACCGAATGAAGTTTATACAATTTTTCCATAGTCGCTCGTGTGGTCACGTGTATACAATTAACCGAGTCGCCCAACTCGATTATTCGCGCCTGCTCATTAAACTTGTAAAAAATGGGTTCACCCCCACCCCCTCGATCACCATAGTTGACATTGGCAGCATCCGACTCTGACCGCTTGTGTTTGTAACCCTCCGCCCTCTCCGTATAAGTAACACTGTGCACACCGGAGTCAGCTTATTCGCAATCCCAGTCCACTCTGGTCCAGAGTGCCCATACACCCTCCTATGCACCCATCCCGATGCTATGACACTATACGTACATATATTATATTACCGGAGCAAATGTATACCCAAAACATCGTGTCGTATTCACGTTTCGGACGTTATAACATTGTCCGATTATTTTGCACCTCTACTCGCTCCGTTTAAGTATATGAATAAAGTTTCGCGGGTATACTTGTAAGCGCGCGCGCGCGTGCGATCCATCTCTTTCTGTGGTGTGGGTATAGGTATATCGTGGTAATACTTGCTTACAACCCAATATATATATATATATATATAAATATCGGAAGGTGGAGGCTATATACCATGTACCTACCTATAATAGGCATCAGAAACAGAGTGTGGAGAGAGAGAATTGGCAGCGGTGTTGGCGGCTGTACTTATATACCTACTATACGGAGACGGCAGCGGTGGCAGCGACAACGACGACCATCAGCTCCCACCGGGAAAGAGAGAAAGAGAGAGAGAGAAGAAGTAGTTTGGGGCGGCAAGGCGCGCGAGCGCGAAATTTTCCAGCAGCAGTACTCGACCTGTGCCTCCACCGCGTGGACGCCGCCGCACGGCACATTACGGACACAATATTATGCACAACACTCTGCTGTTGTCTCGTCTCTTCGGTACAATATACAAACCATTAATTGATTATACTTTGTACGTGGTTACAATACAACATTCGTCGCGCGTTACGTTACACTTTACACGGGCTCTCGAGGGGAATAAGAAGAATCGGGTACAACGTATAACATGATAATACGAGAGTGCCCGTTGCTGCTGCCGTGTATAATAAATATACATTAAAATATTATGTTAAAAGTAACGAGTGTTAGCAACTACCTGTGCACCACACAAATAATAATTATACAATAATATAATTGACAAGCGACGTGTGCGCCGGAGGTGGTGCGTATACATTGCATTGTTACGAATAGGTGTAGCATACGTGTACAGCGCTCGTATCCCTCCCCCCTGTAACCTACTGCTTCTTAATTCTTCCTCCTCCCCTTTTTATTTCCTTTCGCCGACGTCGCCGTCATCGACTGCTATACTTTGTATTATAATATATCAAGTGTATGCCTATACGCTGCTCCAGTGTGTGTGTCATCTTCGTCGGGTCGTGTATATAACGTACGCTCTCACGCCACCGTCAACCAATAGCACACGTATAAAATGTTATATACGTACAATAAATACATGATATAGTTGTTTTTGGTATGACAGTAGCCGATCGTAGATATTCGGGGGGTGGCGCGTGAAAACGCAAATTCAAGTGAACGAACCACAGAGGTGGAGAAGATAATAAATACAAAAGTACAATACATACAAGGGAGGAAAGTGCAGTGTATATAATATATAATATACTTACATCTCACGTAGTAGGCGAAATTTGAATGATCGGTGGTTTTTTGTGCGCGAGTTTTTGCTGTACTCAAAGTGTCAGTGCGTGGGATCTTTGCCAATACAAGGCGTACATGATTTATACACTATAGTGTATGCATATTAATATACGTATACAAGTGTTCCACGTATAGCCCATAGATACACGTAGATATTGGCGATATATTGATCGACACAGCTGTTGCCGTTGCTTCTCTGCTCCGTTTAGCCGGCTACGTACATAGGTACATTTGTGCGCGCGCGTGTGCGTGTGAGTTGACTTACATATATATATATACAGTTGTTAATCGAGTCGTGGGGGGAGTGCTCTCTCTCTCGGTTGTGCACATAGAGGCGCTCTCCTCCCGAGGATGTTTAAATGGCGATAAGAAGAAAATCACGGCTCGTCGTGTGCAGCAGCAGCTCGGTCGGCGCTGCGGCGGCCGTTGCCGTTATACCGGAACGACGACGCCGACGTCGAGGCTCGGTATGTACGCACACGTATACACTTATATACTTGGTTTTCTTTTTTTCTCCACTTCTCTCCTAAGATACAAATTAATTTGTCGTCCGAACGTGTCCTGCACAATACACTATCCGTTTTCGACACACGGATTCGGCGCTCACACCGTCTTGTGTGTCATGCCTGATGCCGGCTGCTGTTTTCCGTACCACCCTTATGTTCGCGCACCCCATTTTTTCGCCTTTGTTTTGTGCAACAACCCGCGATTGGAATTTATTTGTTTTTATAATCTATATATATAATATTTTTTTAGTATATAAAGTTTAGTTTTTATAATATATAAAAGAAAAATAACACGCAGCGACGTGGAAGAGTGGAGGGCACAAAAAGATGGAGGGGCGTGCAAGTGCAGGGGCATATTGTATATATACTTGCAGGGGGAGAAGATCGCCCGAATGAGACTTGTGCACACTTTCTTTTTTTTTTTTTTTTTTTTCCTTCTTCATCTTCTACTACTCTCCAACGTGGCCTGCTTATTGTTGGCTCTTTTACTCCGACCACGTATAAATACATCATGGGCCGTATCTGTCGGTGGTTTAGAAATTTGGCTCGACGTCGTTATCCTTTCGTGATTTGGATGGTTTTTATTTCCTTTGTTTCAAAAATGATGGTAAACAAGCTCGCCGATCCAATCGCCATCGGGGTAACATTGTCGCAAAACACCGATCCCGTAGACAATCCGTGGTGCGTGCACCACCTTATAATATATATACACATCGGAAATTCGACCGAACGGCACATACCTATAATAGCACTGAGCGAAAGGAAAAATCGAGTCTCTCTCTATATGGTACAATACACATGCATATACACGTTGCTTGCAAGTGTGTGTGTGTGTGTGTGTGTGTGAGTACGTCGGTTGCTGGAGAAGAAAGACTTTGGCTAAAGAGTGAGCATGAAGCCGGAGCAACGGGCACACTCGTACAAATACATATAATGTTATACGTAGCGGTTGCCAGTAAAAAAAAAAAAAAGAGAGAGAGAGAGAGAGAAGCCGGTAGTGATGTGGAAGAGTAGAGGAGGAGGAGGAGGAGGAAAATGGCTGAATATTCGTGCCCGAGAGAACGAGCAAACGAACGGGCAGGCAAGTAACCGGGCGAGAGGAGGCTCTTCTTCTTCTCTATACTTGGGAACTTGGGTATATTTGCCCGGGAGAGCGATAGAGAAAGATGCGCGAATAGTGGAGATGTATACACACACACACACATATATATATGTATATTCACGTACATAATATTACATATACGTGTGTTGTTAAGCTCGCTCGCTCGCTCTCTCTCTTGCTTTTGCGTTATGATAAGCCGGCAGGGTCGGGCAGGGTAGCCTAGTGATGTGTATTCTCTTCATCCAGATTTTTTTTTTTTTTTTTTTTTTTTCAACTTTAACGTATACGCGCAGGTAATACCCGAAGAGAGAAGAGCGCCGGGAGTTTCTTCTCCTTCTGTCTCTTGGAACAAGTCGCGGTGGACGCGCCGTTGCTTGCGTTGGTTGTGCATTGGGTATAGGTATTACACAAAACACATATATATATATACGCGCTCACGCTTTACCCACACAGCTGCGCGCGCGCGATTCCATCTACCCACCCAATGTGTACACCTTCATCTACATCATTTGTATATTATATTACATACATATTTGCTATAAGCGTGTAAAAAATATGTGCACCATCCCATGCAAGACGAAAAGAGAAACGTACGTTATATTTCGAGTTATATTTTATTATACATATTATATTGTGTAAAGATGCCGAGATAGTTACGTGCGTTAGTTTGGTGCCGTTCTTTTTTCGAAACGCATCGATGTATATAAAACAATCGCTTACTCTTACATGATGAACATTGTGTACACCAATTGCATCGGTTTTGGTTATTTCAATATATTTATACGTGATGCTGCACACATAATGCTCGATACGAGTGGCTGGTGGTTTATGCAACCTTGATGTCATACTTGAGCTCGTTTGGTGACTTGTACGGCTTATTCGTCTATTTATAGGGTACATAGCCAAGAGAAAGAGAGAGAGAGAGAGAGAGAGAGTGCACGCATTCCTCCTCCGCGCCTCCCCATCCTCCATTTGCTCGATATGCCGCTGTTCCGTTGCTGTACGTGTATATTATACTGTATACATTATATGCCTTGGGGATAAAACACCGACATCTGTTTGACGAATCGTTTCGCTGCGTGTGAGCCGTTATAATTGTTGGGCACGCGGTGTGTAGTACATATATACAATTGGTGCGTAAATGAGTAAATTGGGTTTCTCGCCACACCTCCCTCCCCCCTCCGAGTTGATTCTCCTCGCGATCAAATCTATAATATTTTTCTTCGCGATCTGATTAATGTGCGTGTGTATACTTTGGACCACCAAAAATAATATGGGGCACGCGGGCGTATCGGTATCAAGTATTTTCAAGACAAAAAAACACGATAAACTATAAATACGTGGAGCTCCGATAAGTAGCAAGTATAGGTATCTGTAGACGCGAAATTCACCGACGACTGTATAAATATAATATATAAGCAGAACCGAGGAGAGGTACTATTACGTAACTAGATCGATTTCACAAGTCGACAACAACAGCGACGAGATTTCTCTCTCTCTCTGTGTGTGTGTGTGTGTGTGTAAAAATGTATACATAAGTACACACATATAATACGTATAAGCGTGCAACGGTTGGTGTGTGTAATGGCCTCTCTTCGGTTGGTTTTTTTTTTTTTCTTTTTTTTCTTTTTCAACATCGATACCTTCAACACACGTTTGCTGAATGACATACAGTATGTACATAATACAAACATACCTCCGCGTTTCTTATATGCACATCATGACGCTAAAGCCGTTCATTACGTGCTCAAAGAATCTCGATTGCACGCAATAATGATATCTTTTTTGTTTTTTTTCCTTTCCTATGTACTTATACTCTTTTATACTTGCAAGTTGAAAAAGAAAAAGCTCGACGGTGTATAAACATAAATATACCCATAAAAAGAGCCACCGATTAGTAAACAAATGAGTCAAGCTCGGCCCCGCACATATATTTATATTCACCGTCCAGCGGCAGATACAGATCGTCGCCTGTTATCCCAACTGATGCCGGCCTATCCCCTTCTTCTTCCTCCTCTCGTTTACGTTTGCTTTGTTCGCGCTCTGGTCCAGTTCCGATGCTCTACTCGTCGCTTCTCGCCCGGCAACGGGAGGAGATGTACTTAACCCGGCGCGCGGTTCGCCACACGCATCACGGGTCCCAGAGAGAGAGAGAGAGCCGCCGTGATGCTGGTCGGTCGGCGAGAGGTTGCGGAGCTGTTTTGCTTCTCTCCTCCTGTCTCTGTATACACATTATACAGCCACACAGTCGGGGATGCAAGGGGGGGGAGGGCCGGTGCAACAGCACGTCTCTTTCTCTCTCTCGTTTCTCCGTCCCGTATTGATCCTCTCGGATAGTACATATACATATAAAAGTGCTGGGTTATATCCATGCAAAGGCTCTCTCTATCTCCCTATATGCATGCCCGACCGCTGCTCCGCACCCGTACTTCTGTTTTAGGTGTGGGCATATGTATACATTTATACACCGTGGTGCCGAAAACTACCCTGTGTAACTTTTACGGGAGGGTTATAAACCATTATCATCGTTACACTGCTTTTATCCATGCACGTACCTGTTACACATATATGTATCCGATCGCCGATTCGTAGGCGTAATAATATCATGCATTTCATGTGTATATATATGCGCGGTATTTTGTCTCCCTCCGACTTTTTGCTATCTCGTGTTGGCTGCACTTCTTCTTCTTCCCGTTCGTATTTTATCTTTACGCCCGTGTGTATTTATACGTATATATGCCTATGGTAACTATACATATACAAGCAAAAATCGAAGATATACTCGCTGCAAAGTCGTGGGTTGTTACGCACACACACCCACACCCACACGCGCGTATAAATTGTACATAAAATATTGAACGCTTCGACGACGACAACAAGAGCGAAATAAGAGGATCGATGTGCATTGAGAATCCCTGGCCGACTCGATCGTTCGCGAGAATTCCGATGACCTGCAGCAGTGCGCTCCAAAGCTTTATACTTGCAGTGAGCACACACATAATACTTGTACGCACAAGTATAACTCCTATATTCGTATACACGTATCGTGCAATGTGCCGTAAGCAACTTTTTCCTCTTCGATAGGTATAGCCGTTATGAGAATTGTAAATATGCTTAATGCGATATGTAGCTGTTTTTTCTCTCGCATCGTACCTACAATGTCATGCTCGCATGAACGTTTAAAGGGCACCTTCAGGTGGACGATAACCGGTCTCCGACCGATGGATACAATTTGGATGAACGACGGAACCGATACTTTATCACCATGGTAATTCGATTGTAGGTATATAATAAATTCTCCAAGGGACTCTCTCTCTCTCTCTCTCTCTCTCTCTCTCTCTCTCTCTCTCTCTCTCTCTCTCTCTCTCTCTCTCTCTCTCTCTCTCTCTCTCTCTCTCTCTCTCTCTCTCTCTCTCTCTCTCTCTCTCTCTCTCTCTCTCTCTCTCTCTCTCTCTCTCTCTCTCTCTCTCTCTCTCTCTCTCTCTCTCTCTCTCTCTCTCTCTCTCTCTCTCTCTCTCTCTCTCTCTCTCTCTCTCTCTCTCTCTCTCTCTCTCTCTCTCTCTCTCTCTCTCTCTCTCTCTCTCTCTCTCTCTCTCTCTCTCTCTCTCTCTCTCTCTCTCTCTCTCTCTCTCTCTCTCTCTCTCTCTCTCTCTCTCTCTCTCTCTCTCTCTCTCTCTCTCTCTCTCTCTCTCTCTCTCTCTCTCTCTCTCTCTCTCTCTCTCTCTCTCTCTCTCTCTCTCTCTCTCTCTCTCTCTCTCTCTCTCTCTCTCTCTCTCTCTCTCTCTCTCTCTCTCTCTCTCTCTCTCTCTCTCTCTCTCTCTCTCTCTCTCTCTCTCTCTCTCTCTCTCTCTCTCTCTCT